ATTTTTTTTGTTTTCCTCCTTGCCTCTTTGATATGGGTCCTTCATTAATACAGATGGAGTGATCTACCAAGTTAGAAAGTGAATGAAAAAAATATTATAGGGGATCCTAAGCTGTGGCCGAGTCATTCAGGCCGATCATTTCGGTAATTATATCGTGTTCAGCAACCATGCTTGGTTGAGAAGATTCCATATGCTGCATTTGACTTGGAATATAAAAATTCTGTTGAGTATTATGGATAGCAGATATCTAGGGATACTCTGATGATTAAGAATTGCAAAACTATTTGACTAATATACCGACCATTAAATTTTAAGGCTTTCAGATATATTTTAATGAGGTGGTGTTTCATATGTAATGACTTGATTTTCGGACGAGTAGTGCACATGCAATGCATATGATCATTGTCTAGATGGACCAACTTTTTAACATTTGAGAAGATTATAATCATATATTTAATGGTCAGTTCATAAAATAATGAAATGAATGGGATGGTTATGACTGCCTAAATTAAATGGGTTCGACTTTTAAAGATTTTCCTCTTGGCTCTGTTGCTCTATATAATTATGATTTTTTTTTATTTGTGTGCGGAGATAAATTCACACCGAGAGTAATAACCTAGTACAAATGGAGAGAGTGGTGAGTAAGCCTTGATAATCTGTAAGACGAGAACACCAAGGTAAATCGATGGTTAGAAACGGTCAAAGGGACTCCAATTCTTAAGTCAGATTGCAAGTCAAAGAAATTATATAGTGAATAGGCTAGGATTGAATGTCTTACCTAGTATCCAGTGACTTTTATATATAGTGGTAGGAAGTAGTGTTTCAAAGGGACTCGAACTCTGGGTCGAGCTAGGATAGACCTCATCATTAATCCCTAGTTATTCGTGGTAGAGTTAGAATAAGACTATTGTTTCTAGGTCTTTATCCTTAGTTCCCATTTGTTCGAAGTAGCATTTAAATAGGACTCTAGGTCCCCGGTTAAACCTTAGCTAAATATGACTAGTCCAACAAAAGCGGATAAGCAAGAGGAGCCTTTGTTGAGTACCTCTTGGCCAGTAGAGTGTCTGTCAGTCGGCACCCATTTGCTTTGCTGGTCGGAACTTTTGTCGATTGGCACTGCCTAAGCCAAAGGGGACTCCCACAATTACCCCCCCCCCAATGCTTATTTTAATTGAGCAAATTGATTGAGGCATGTTTTTGGACGAGTAAGTGTTTCCCAGGCCCAACTCATTGATAATGGGCTTATTTTGCCCAGAGGACTAGGACTTGACTTGCCTAAGTAGCGTAGGGCTTTAAATTTTTGCATGAACTTTTGAATGTGTTTTGCCTTTTTACATGAACTTTTGAATGTTCTTTGCCTTTTCACATGAACTTTTGAATGTTCTTCGCCTTTTCACACAAACTTTTGAATGTTCTTGCATGTCCCCCACTTTAATTTGAGATTTTTGAACACTTGTAGCTTTGGGGGGTTTGATCTTAGATCTAGGTTAAATTTGAATTGGGTTTAGTTATTGAGAATAGGATCTTTCTTGGGTTGAACCGTTAGGAGTCAAGTAAGAGTGGCGCCAGCCAGTAGTTGCAAGTGAGGGATTGGCTTGGACTGTCTATCGATCAAAAGTAAGTAACTTGGGGCTTCAGTTGTGGAGGAGGTTTATTGGGTCTTGCCCCCATCCATCAATTCCCCTTAGAGGCGGCAGCTTCAGTCGGTAGTGTGAGTGACTGGGTAGGTGTCGGTCGGCCATCGACATCCTTGAGTTGCTGGGAGTGACGACTTTAGCGCCTTTGGGTTCCTTTGTATCTTCTTGAGTCCCACTTGATTGCTTTACTTTTGGTAGTCCTCTTGAGTGTTAGCTATGGGGATGTACCACGACATAGTGGCTAGCAAGCAATCCCTAGTAGAATTTAAAAAGGACTTTGGCATACCCGAGGACGTCGAGGTGAGAGCTGCTTTCAGGGATGCTAGTGAGTTTAAGGACGGTTGATATAAGTGGCCCGTGGTGGCTATAGTTGAGGGAAGAATTAGATTCCCAATTCCTAGCTTGGTGAGAGAGCTTCTACATTCAACGGCCCTTCATGCATCCTAACCTAGAACTAATGCTTTTAGGATCCTTGGGGTGATGATGAAGTTAGCAGAGATTCATGACACCAGTCTTACCCACTGGGAGGTACTAGGTTGCTACTACCTGAAGGCTGTCCCCAATTCAAATAACAAGTAATATCTCTTACGTAGGAAAAAAACCCTTTGTTTGATTGCCTAGCCTCTTCAGCCAAGGGTTATGAAGATAAGTCCATTATAGAGAGGGGCGACTAGGAGTTTGGATCTGACGCAGCTGTTAGCCCTTCATGCCCGCATGCCATTGGTGAGCTAGGTTGGTTGCTTGGAACTTCTTATTGTTTACTTGAAAGTTTGAACACTTGTTTCTTACTTGCACTTACTCTTCTCTTTTGTTTGTTTTCTCAGCTATGCTTGACATTCGAAGGATCAAGAAGCATAGCAATAGTGCCCTTGAGAGAATATGACCTTTTTGCAACGTTTTTCGAAAACATCGCAAAAAAACATTTTAAGTCTAATTTAAAAATAATTAATTTACATTCTACGACGAATATAAAAATGTCGCAAAAGATTAAATTGGATTTAAAAAAATAAATTTTTTTTTCTGCGACGAATTCTATGAAACGTCGCAAATTGACATTAATATTTCATTAAACTTTAATAAGGAAAATTAATATGTTGCGACGAAAAATGAAAACGTCGCGCATTATGTATTTTTGATTTTTTTTTATTTTTATTTTATATTCGTTATTTTTGCGACGAAGTAAAACTTTCGGCGACAAAAATTTTTGGTTGTAAAAAATCTTATTTTCCCACCATTTCTCGCACCAAAAAAAAATTGGAGAGAAACACTTTTTCGCAACATTTTTTAAAAACGTCGCAAAAAACTGCCAAATATATATTTTTTGCGACAAAATTATTAAAACTAAGGTTAGTGCCATAGGGCGAAGCGGGACATGTTCGACCTCACGTCTAACTAGCGTCAGGTCAAACAAGCGCCCTAGTTCTTGTTTGAAGACCGGAACATTAGCAACATGGATTAGGATGACTCTTCAGAATACTAAGCCCCGACTCCTTACTGGATCAAATTGGGCATACCAATAAACTCTGGCTCATTGATTGACATCTCGTCGCGGATAGTGTATTTTTTTGCGACGATTTAAAATTAATCACAAAAAAAAATGTCTCAAAAAATGATTTTTGTTGTAGTGTGTATAGAGCTTTTGGTAGGTTAATGCCACTACTACTTGACTTCGTCCCAGGGTACACTTCCCTCTCTCCTGACACCACAGCTAAGGCACAACTGAGAACTTTAAATCTGGACTCTTAAATAGAGTTAGAACTTTTGTGAGAGAGACGCTTAGGAGGAAGAGACTTGGGCTTGAGACAAGAGTAGGAGAGGAGGCTTGCCTTGTGTCAGGCAAGCTAGTGCCTCCTTGTTCCATTAATGCTTTAACTTAGCATTTTGTTGTTTTTTCTTTAACATTCCTTGATTACAAGTATGGGAGGTGGCTTTTCTTCGATGCGAGGGCGCAAGGCTCCTTCGCGATTGCACCTCAAGCTAACCTCCATAGTTGCACCTCTAGTCATCCTCCGTGGTCGCACCTAAATGCTACTTTGCCTCTAGCGAACCTCTTTGGTTGCACCTTAAGCCAACCTCCATAGTTGCCCCTCAAGGTTGCTTGGCCTCCATGCAACCTCCACGGTTTCCCTTCAGGCTAATTCGTCTCCATTCAACCTCTAAGATTGCCCTCTAAGTTACTCAGCCTTTGATCGATGACCAACAACTTCTACGATTGCTCAACAGGCTACTTAGCCTTTCTTAAGGATTTTCCACCTCTGAGCATTAGACACTTAAACTCGTGCTGACCCTCTCCCTTCGGTCAAAACGGGGGGCACCAATGTTAGAAGACTAGGACCACCACCACCAAGGAACTTCCCCATGATCTCAGGAATCAAGAAGTCACTCTCAGTTCATTAAACGTCCTCCCAAACTAGATATGACCCATCAATCCCGGTTTGACTCTGAAGCAACTCTTATCATTCAACTAGCTCATGAACAAAGTAAGTGAGTCCCCTTTTACAAGCAATAATGAATGCTTCTCCTTTCCTTCTATCAACCAAGCTCCAATCTATGAACCAAGTGAAGTAACACAAAGGGAAGTAAGATGAAGAACAAAGGAAGGGAGAAGGGAACTTAAAGACCCAAGCTACTTAGACAATTGAAGCCCTAGTCTTCTAGGCAAAAGAAGCCTGTTATCAATGAGTTGAGCCTGAAAGACACCTACTCGTCCAAAAACATGCCTCAATCAATTTGCTCAATTAAAAGAGGTATGGGGGCAATTATGGGGACCAGACACTCTACTTGCTAAGAGGTACCCTGCGAAGACTCCTCTTGCTTGCCCATCTCTGTCAAACGAGTCCTACTCGACTAAGGTTTAACATAGAACCTAGAGTCCTAGATAAATGTTACTCCGAATAACCAGGAGCTGATGATAAGGGACCTAGGACTAGGAGTCCTAATATAAATCTACTCTGTACTTATAGGACCTAGTTATAAATAAAGGTTTCCAGGTACCAAATAAAGGAATAATGCTAGCTATTTACTTTATACTCTTTTTCAACTTGCAATCTAACTTAAGCATCGGAGTCTCTTTGGCCGCCTCTGACCATAAGTTCACATAAGTGTTCTCTTGTCTTGCACGTTAACTTAAGGCTTTCTCACCATCATCTTCGTCCGCACAAGGTGAAGGCTCGTAGTGCAAAATTATCCCGTACAGTTTGTGATTTAGTTTCTTTATGTGCCGAACAAATAAAATAAGAGAAAAGGAATTGAACACATTCTCAGCATAAGCCTATAAATCAACGGAGCCTATCTACGAATTAACAAACTGAAAAGCATAAACTCTTATTTCCAATCACTGTTTACATTGCCTTTGTCTACGGGATGGACATAAACTCCGCACTTTCGGTGCCCTTGTCGATCTTAGCTGCAATTGCCTTTCTCAAGTTCTTATTGCACAAAAAGAACAATAACCACAAAAAGAATAAGAAACTACCTCCTGGAGAAATGGGGCTTCCTTGGATTGGCGAAACAATGGACTTCTACAAAGCCCAACGAAGAAACCGGTTATTCGAGGAGTTTGTTCAGCCGCGGATCACAAAATATGGAAAAACCTTCAAAACAAGGCTGATGGGATCACCAACAGTGGTGGTGAATGGAGCTGAAGCAAATCGCTTCTTCTTGTCCAACGAATTCAAGTTGGTGATAAGCTCATGGCCTTCTTCGTCGGTCCAGCTTATGGGGAAGCAGTCTATCATGGAAAAACAAGGGGAGGCTCATCGGTTCCTCCGCGGGGTTATAGCCACCAGTCTTAGTTCTGCTGGGCTGGAGGCTATAGTGCCCAAAATGTGTGAAACAATTCAGTTACACTTACAGAGGAACTGGAGTAGTGGACAAGAAAAAATTAGTCTATATGGTCAGACAAAAATTGTGACATTTACAATCGTGTTCAAGTGCTTGTTTGGAATTAATGTGGAACGAGGAATATTGGAGACATTTGGGAGAGTGTTGGACGGGGTTTTCGCTCCTCCAATTAAGTTTCCAGGCTCGAAATTTTCAAGGGCAAAAAGTGCAAGGCTGGAGATCGAAAAAATGCTTCTTGATGTTGTGAGACAGAAGAGGAAGGAGATGGAAGGCGGGACAGTACGGGATGGAAAAGGGATGCTACTTTCTCAGTTGGTGGCAGGGCTGGTTCGCGGAGAGATTAGTGAGGAGGAGGTTGTTGATAACATCGTTTTGCTAGTGTTTGCAGCTCATGATACCACTTCTTTTGCCATTGCAATGACATTTAGAATGTTGGCTCGTCATCCAAACTTCTATTCAATCCTCCTTCAAGGTAACACGTTTTCATATTTCATGCCAGAATTGGGCGCTATATATAAGTTGGATTCAAATCAGACTCAAAACCTTAAGCCACGCTGAGAATGATTTATTCCAATATCTATATATATGGACCATTTCTTTTCCGTTCCTCAAAAGATATGGGATTGTATGTACCAAAAAAAAAAGATGTGGGATTGTCTTAAGCAGCTCACATATGGGTTTTCCCACAGTTCAAACTTACAATTTCAATTGTCCATCTAAATTTTTTTTTGCTGCTTGCCAGAACATGAAGACATAATCAGGAACAAAAGACCTGGTGAAACTCTAACGTTGGAAGACACGAAGAAGATGAAGTATACGTGGGAAGTTGCTCGTGAAAGCATGAGGCTGTTCCCTCCCATCTTTGGCTCATTCAGAAAAGCAATTGTTGACATTGAGTATGAAGGATTTACGATTCCAAAAGGGTGGAAGGTTCTATTTCTATCTTATTCTCTCCTTTATACATCAAAACATGTTAAATAATCCTGATAGCTGCATTGGAACCTCAAATATTGATCAGACTTGTGAACATGCATGACAATATACTGCCGCTGCACATTTTACATCTTTTTCTGCAATTTTGAGTTTTAATCACCAGTATAACATGCAGATCATCCAAGCTTAGTTTAAGTACTTTACAACAGATATGGACATCTTAGTGCAACTTGTGAATCCTGCAACCTCTCATACCACTCGTTGCTGTGAAACCTAGGAATTAATTCCACTAAACAATCCTTGGAAAGAACCAGCAGTGGGGCTTGTTTAAGACAAACTCTCGGTCGGATACAGGAAATTTTTTGGGTAATCACCAGATTATACCATGTCTAGTTGAGCTGTTTGTATTCCAGTACTAATGTCATTTTGGAATTGTATTGACTACAAGTCAATTTTAACACAAGCCATTTAGCTAGTCATATTAAATGATTTGACTTGATCCGACATGTTTATTGATAGAATCATTCTCGGATTTAGAGACACCACCCCTGATCCCAGATCCATAATTAGAACTTCTTTGTCTATTACTCAAACCAATCACCCATAGGATTGTCATAAACTAAACATCCCTTGGTATTGATATTGCAAAATCACGTAAACAAATTTCTGCAAGAATTCCAATAAAAATATAGCAATGTTGACTTTAGGAATTTTATCATATTATTAGTTGCTCATAAAAATATAGCAATGTTAACTTTAGGATTGCACATGCCTGAAGCACTACGTTACTCATAAAAAAATTTCATACATTTGTTCATGTATAAAACAAATATTTAATAAACAATGATCAAAATGATCCCATTAACATTTTTAAATTTATCATATGTATTTAAAGTTTTATACCACCAAATGCACACTATGACATACATAGATAAAATGTTGTTCCATATTATTTGTACATAATATAAAAGGTACAAATTAAATTTATAATAATAAGATTAGCAATAGATTAATTAACATATATTACAACAATAAAATAATTTTATACTCACCCATGTTATCTTATATTTTAAGAATAAGAATAACAAAAAACCAAAAAAAAACCAACAAAAATAATAAAAAAAGATTAATTATAATTTTCATTGTTATTATACATTGATGCAACATTGTTTAGTTTTAGCTAAGTATAATATATTGTTATTAAATATATATAGTCATTTAATAAAAAATTAAGATATACCTAATTAAAACATTATGCCAGCAAAAAAAATGAAGACATTTAAATAAACGTTCATATACAATTCAACAGTATATCTAGTAAATAAATAGCGAATGCCTGTGTCTGAAGGAACTGTGAACCTCAAAAAATATGTCAATTACAGTAATTATTGCCTACAAATACCAATATGGAAAAAAGTGAAAAAAAAAATAAAGTTTTAATTTGATATATTTTTTATTTTCTAGGTCAAATATATTCAAAACATTGTCCGACAAACTTACTCTAAAAACAGTACCCCAAAAAACTGAAACTTGTATACACAATTTATATTTTTTATAGCCATACCCTCAAACTCAACCTAACACTTGCAACTAGAATCCATCAAAAACTTCAATTTCGAATAGATTCTATTTCTTTGTCATGGAACAAAATTGAATGTAGGCTACTCCGAACAACAGTCTAACTCAAATATATTTCTCTCTTTCTCAATTAATGTATCTTTTTCTCAATTATCGTCTTTTTCGGTATGTATTAAACTTTTGTTAAGCACTTTATAACATGCTTATGGACTAAAATTACCATGACATGTATGTATATATTTCTCTACAATAATGATCATGTTATGTTTCTAATGAATGCACATAAAGGAAGAAGAAATGATCGTACCTTATATTGGACTAAACCAAAAAAAAAAACCATGGTCGTAGTTTTAAATTATAATTTTGGAGTAGAAACTTAATGAGTATGAACCAAACGTATTTAGTCCATCTTGCAGATCTACATATAGAAAAGTGCTATATATAAAATAGAAAATAGGGCATGGAATTAAAATAGATCATGGTTTCAAAACAAATTTATTTAATTCATTTGTAGTATAAACTGAATTAGTAAAGCCGGCATTGCAGTGACCACAGGCTACAAGCGGGTTGCAATAGTGGATAAATATTTTTGTAGACAAAAATTAGCCAAAGAACTGAACCGAATGTTTGTTATCTCTCTCCTTTTTTAATAACCAACAGAAATCAAACATATATTACCCCAACACTAAACAGCTTGCCATATGCTCATTGTCGAAAAAATTCAATATTTTTGCTCAAGTAAATGTGGCTAATCAGCAGGCATAATTATCAAATGAAACAATTCTAAGTTATATAAATATCAAGAGCTAAAGAACATGGCTTGAATTAAAAGGATCCTTGTGTTTGTGCGCATGTGTGACAAACAGACCAATTACAAAAAAAATGCAATAATTTACAAATTTAGACTGTATGAAAATAGAGATTAATTAAATTCGAAAGAGCAAACAAAATAATGATCACATATAAAAATTCCCAAGAGAGATAGAAAGCGAGCTAGGCTAAAAAAAGATCATAAAAATAGCCCTTTAGTTGGGCTATGCTTATTTTAGTCTAAAGTACCAAGGAATTATCATTATGTACCTGATAAGTTTAAAAAATGGAGATAAAACATAAGAATTAAGTCATAGGAATCATGCCCAAAAAAGTTCTCATCATGCTTTGATGGTGACTCTAGTTTGTGGTTTGGGTTAATGGCGGTGAGTGGCCTGTGGTAGTGATTTGATGAACAGGGATGGGGCCATGAGGTGGTGTTTAGTGAGTTTAGTGAGGTTACGGGGTGGTGGTGGTGACTTAGCCGTGGTGTATAAAATAAATAACATATTGGATTTATCTTGGGCATTTCAATAAACAGTTTATCTGCATTAAGATTTCAGCCATAAACCAAAAAAAATTTGCATTGCTGTTGAACTTAATTCACCAAATTGGCCAAAGGACCATGAATTTTAAAATAAGATCTATTAAATCAAATATTTTCTAAAATATAAAAATAAGTTGCACAAATAATTAGTACAGAGACTGTAAAGCCAATTAGGATACATGGCCTCTAGACAATATAAATTTGCTATTTATACAAACCTAAAACAATAGAAGAAAGTTGCTAGGATCGGTGATTTAATCAACCCTTCTTCTTCGTATCCTTCATATTGTGAATAACAGCAACAACATCCCAAGTCTCTTCCCTCCGTATAATAGATTGGGATTAACATTACTGGTGGATGAGATCACAATAGAAGTCTAGTGATGTGTAATAGAAAACGAATCATGTGCAACCACGGATGGAGGCATGCAAGGAATGAGAGGAGCAAAATAGAGAGAGGAAAGAAACCTGGTTGTTGGTGGTGGACATNATAAATATTTTTGTAGACAAAAATTAGCCAAAGAACTGAACCGAATGTTTGTTATCTCTCTCCTTTTTTAATAACCAACAGAAATCAAACATATATTACCCCAACACTAAACAGCTTGCCATATGCTCATTGTCGAAAAAATTCAATATTTTTGCTCAAGTAAATGTGGCTAATCAGCAGGCATAATTATCAAATGAAACAATTCTAAGTTATATAAATATCAAGAGCTAAAGAACATGGCTTGAATTAAAAGGATCCTTGTGTTTGTGCGCATGTGTGACAAACAGACCAATTACAAAAAAAATGCAATAATTTACAAATTTAGACTGTATGAAAATAGAGATTAATTAAATTCGAAAGAGCAAACAAAATAATGATCACATATAAAAATTCCCAAGAGAGATAGAAAGCGAGCTAGGCTAAAAAAAGATCATAAAAATAGCCCTTTAGTTGGGCTATGCTTATTTTAGTCTAAAGTACCAAGGAATTATCATTATGTACCTGATAAGTTTAAAAAATGGAGATAAAACATAAGAATTAAGTCATAGGAATCATGCCCAAAAAAGTTCTCATCATGCTTTGATGGTGACTCTAGTTTGTGGTTTGGGTTAATGGCGGTGAGTGGCCTGTGGTAGTGATTTGATGAACAGGGATGGGGCCATGAGGTGGTGTTTAGTGAGTTTAGTGAGGTTACGGGGTGGTGGTGGTGACTTAGCCGTGGTGTATAAAATAAATAACATATTGGATTTATCTTGGGCATTTCAATAAACAGTTTATCTGCATTAAGATTTCAGCCATAAACCAAAAAAAATTTGCATTGCTGTTGAACTTAATTCACCAAATTGGCCAAAGGACCATGAATTTTAAAATAAGATCTATTAAATCAAATATTTTCTAAAATATAAAAATAAGTTGCACAAATAATTAGTACAGAGACTGTAAAGCCAATTAGGATACATGGCCTCTAGACAATATAAATTTGCTATTTATACAAACCTAAAACAATAGAAGAAAGTTGCTAGGATCGGTGATTTAATCAACCCTTCTTCTTCGTATCCTTCATATTGTGAATAACAGCAACAACATCCCAAGTCTCTTCCCTCCGTATAATAGATTGGGATTAACATTACTGGTGGATGAGATCACAATAGAAGTCTAGTGATGTGTAATAGAAAACGAATCATGTGCAACCACGGATGGAGGCATGCAAGGAATGAGAGGAGCAAAATAGAGAGAGGAAAGAAACCTGGTTGTTGGTGGTGGACATGTGTTGAGGCGGCCAGTGGTTTTGGCTAGGGGAGAGAGAGAGAGAGAGAGAGAGAGGGTATGATTATACTGTAAAGAGAGAGAAGGATAGAGGGAGAGACGTTTAAGGAAACAGAATATGAGAAATAGGGTAAGGATGGAGTCTAAGATTCCTATATAGAATGAGTCTCGCTGAAATTGTTGGGCGGGAGAAATAAATCTAAGTATCAATTAGGATTATTGAATTAATATTTTAAAATGATATTAACCGCAAAAAATTAAAGACATTCAAAATATTTGAATTGCCAGCTCCCTTTTATATAGAGATGAGAGTCTTAAAGTTAAGTTCAATTAAGATAGAGAGAGAGTTGTATGCGAGATGATAGTCTTAGAGTTAAGTTCAATTAGGATCGTCAAATCAATAATCCTCGCACAATCTAAGCCGCAAAAAACTCAAAACAAACAATCTAAATCTCTTATTATATAGATAGTAGCTAAATATCTATTTCGTGTCAAAATAAAATCATTCTTTGTACTAATCTAACTTGTATATTATGTGTCCTAGTGGATCGTATCATTTTTTGAGTTTTTGTTGAGAATTAATCAATTGACTGACATTAATTTTATACCGGGTGAAAATAGTGTTTAAATAAATTGAATAAAACAAAAAAGATAGTAAACTCATTAAGTTATGTATTTCACCATTATAATCTGACAAGGCTGCTTTCTGGTGGTCTTGTGCAGGTGTTGTGGACCGCATACGGAACACATTACGACGCCGAGTATTTCCGAGATCCTATGAAATTCAATCCGAGTAGGTTTGAGGAGCCTGTTCAGCCATATGCTTTTCTTCCATTTGGGGGAGGACCAAGGTTGTGTGCAGGCTACCAATTGGCCAAGTTGAATATCCTCATATATCTGCATTATGTTGTAAGTCGTTACAACTGGTCCTTACTGTATCCTGATGAGCCAATCTCCATGGATCCCCTTCCATTCCCTTCTCATGGCATGCCCATGAAAATTTCTCCAAAGTGATCATAAAACACATGGTGTTTGGATTGTATTCTCACATATTCCATCTCATAATGTATATTTTTGAATTATATGGCAACAACATTGGGAGAAGAATGGCCTTTATTTATACATGAGAAGATAATATTTTAGGTAACTTTCAAGCGGACCCCCTAACATTTGTGTTTATTATAATTCACATTTTAGAAATTACATTGAGACCCCAATAATTAAACCTGGTTAACGATATTTCTAAAATACTATTTTTGCCATATATTTGACTGGTCAGACCTAAATAAAAAAATACACCACGTCTGGATCAAATCTTTAGGTTTGAACATTCAAGACCAATACATGACCAGAATTCCCAGAGCCAGCCCAATGAAAATTGAGGCCCCAAGTAAAAATTATGAATGAACTCCTTTAAAATTAATTGATGAGCCCAAAATCAACTGGGTCAGACCCAATAGATCAAGTAGGCCCAAATTAACTAAAAGGCAGCCCAGACCCACTTTGCCAATCGAATCCAGTCCGACCCAACTCAGGATCCAGGAAACCTGAAGAAATAAGAGCATGTGAGAGAGAATATCGGGATACGCATCATGGAGATCTAATCCTACCTTAATTGTACTTACCAAAGGAGTAAAGCACTCTCCCTCACGTCACCGCCTCATCATACCTATATAATATAAGTCCTCTTCACATAGAGGGCATCACCTAGAGACCTCTACATCTCACACACCTCTCTATACTTCAAGTTTCTTTATCTCAAAGCATTGTAATTCTCCTGGAGTGTACTCTCCCGATAACTTTTATTCATCAATAAAGATCTTCGACCACCGCTGTCGTTCCCGAGAGTGGAGTAGGTCACCCGGACAAAACCACTATAAATTTGCGTGTTTGTTCTTATTTATTGTTTTGTCATTGATCATCTTATATACTATTCATTAATTACACTTGTTCATATACTCGACTGTTGATCATGCACAAGACCATTTTGTGCATCATCAGTTTGGCGCCATCTGTGGAAAACGAGTAGGTTTTCTACTCTCTTTAATCCATGGTAATTACCACAAGATCGATGAGTCAACAACCGAAAGAAAACAACCCGGCCCACTGGGAAGAGGCTCCACCTCCCCTCGCACCCTCGAAACCATCTGCTACAGCGACCCCCGTCATCGGGCAACAGCTTCTACGGACCATGCAGCTGCTGGTAAACCAAAACCAGCAGATTATTCAATTGATGCTTGCCTAGGGCGCCCCTCCCCCAGTAGGTCCTCAGAGCGTAGAAAGTTCATGTGTTCCCCCTCCTTATGTGCTTGTGCAGGAGGATGAAGGAAAGAGTCAATATGACGATCATGGAAGCTAGAACAACCACCCAACGGAGGATGTCCCCAATCAATGGGACCAGAAGATCAGAGAGGTACAAAATCAACTTGATGATGCCCTCAACGCCATCAAGGCATAGACATATGAGACAGTGGACTACCTGGTAAGGGATACTAATACACCTTTTGCTGTTGATATAGTCAATTATCCCTTACTCTCAAAGTTTAAGATGCCTACCATTGAGATCTTCGATGGTACCAAAGACCCTCTCGACTATCTTGACACATATAAGTCTCTCATGCAACTCCACAACATGACTAAGGAGATTATGTGCAGAGCCTTCCCTATCACCTTAAAAGGGTTTGCTCGCCAATGGTTTGCAAAGACCAAACCCTCCTTCATCCACTCCTTTGTAGAACTGAGTAGATCTTTCGTCTCCCAGTTCATTGGGGGACATCAACATCAGAAGCCTGTGACTCACCTACTCTCCATCAAGCAGGATAGGGATGAAAGCCTTCGAGACTACCTCACTCATTTCAACGAGGAGGCCCTCCAGATTGAGGAGCCAGATGATAAGGTAGCCCTGTCCGCCTTTATTGCTGGTCTTCGCTCCTCTAGCTTTATGTTCTTCGTCCTCAAGAAGCTGCCCTCTAGCATGCTCGAGTTGTTGTCGAGGGCCCAAAAGTACATAAATGCTGAAGATGTCACCAAGGTCTGTCGAGGTGAGTCCTCCCTAGGAGGGGAAAACAGGAAGGATACCTGCGAAGACAAGTGGGAGGCGAAGAACAAGAGAAAGAGAATCGAAAGAGTCTTTGTCAAGGACCGCCTTGGTCCCCCGCCTCTAAAAGGGCGACAAGCATTCACGTTGCTCAATGCTTCTGTGGAGCATATCCTGTTCCAAATACAGGATGATCCTACAGTACGTTGGCTAGAGAAGATGAAGACTGCCCCAAACAAGTACTGTCGTTTCCACAGCGACCACGACCATGATACTGATGACTATTTTGATCCTTAAAGGCAGATTGAGGAGCTCATATAGCGTGCCTAGAGCCCCTAGGCTTGCAGGCCCAGCGCCCCTTGGCGTCCACGCCCAGCAGCGTCTAGAGCCCCTCAGGGTCCAGGCCTAGTGGCGCCCAGCACTAGGTTCCTAGCCTCAGGTGCCTAGCTCCTCAACGCCCTCCTCATCTCCATGGAATGAGTCTCTACCACGACAGCCTTCTCCCAAGCTATACGTAGCTTGGCCTCAACTCCTATGACCCTCTCACGAGACGTTTGCAGCTATGACTTTACTCTTGCACAAGTAGTCACCTTGAAAGCCTCTGCCAAGGCAGCCCTCCCCGAGACTATACATTGCTCGCCCTCAGCTCCTGTGACCCTCTCATGGATGTTTGCATCTATGAATTTGCTCTCGCGCAAGTAGTCACATTGAAAGCCTTTGCCAAGGCAGCCCTCTCCTGAAACTATACGTAGCTCGGTCTCAGCTCCTACGGCCTTTTCACGGGACATTTGCAGCTATGACTCTATTTTCGTGCAAGTAGTCACCTTGTAAGCCTTTGTCATGGTAGCCCTTTCTGAGACTATACATAGCTCCGCCTCAGCTCCTACGGCCCTCTCACGAGACTTTTGCAATTATGACTCTGCTCTCACACAATTAGTCTCCTTACAAGCCTCTGTCACGACAACCATCTTCCGAGACTATACATAGCTCGACCTCAGCTCCTGTGGCCCTCTTACGAGACGTTTGCAACTATGACTCTGCTCTTGCACTGGAAATCTCCTTACAAGTCTCTTCCAGAACAGACATCTCCCGAGACTATACGTAGCTCGGCCTTAGCTACTGCAGCCCTCTCATGGGACGTCCACTACTCTGACTTTGCTCTCACGCAAACAACCAGCCTCTCTCTCTAGGTAATCATGTAACATATTTTAATGTTGGAGTAACATTATTTTTGCTAGGCACACTTTTGAAACTTAGGTCATTTGTAACCTGCAGGACTATAACATATTGACACCGAGACACTGGAGTCTTAACTCTTACAATGGTACAAGAGCTAGTCCTGAGAAGCACTAGGGGCATCAAACCTCGCCCTCTTGGGAGGAGGGGAAGGTGCTGCCCTAGAAGCATAGAGAACCTTCACCTCTATAATCCCTCTATCAACGAGAGCACCTATAATTAGAGATAAGATTAAGAACCTGCATAGCTGAAAGCTATCATAGTCTCCAATCCTTTGGGCGTCGCCCAAGCCTCCATGGCGTCTCCAAGACCAACCTTCTACTCCAAGGCATGGTCTCCTGTTCCAAGCTAGTACACAGTGCCAATAGCAAGTGCTTGGCGCCCACGCCCAGTGCCTAGCGCCTATGCCCAACGCCCAAGCCTGGCCTAGAGCTCAACGTCCTGTGCCTGGCGCCTAGTGCCCTGGGTGTCGCCTAGTCCAAGCTTCGCCCTCTTCTCCAACAGTGCAAGAGGTGCCACCTACATCCACAACATCTTCATCACCCAAATGCAAACGAGGTCGCCCAAGCTTGCCAGGTCTGTCTCGTAAAAAGACCCACCAAAAAAGGGTGTCGCCCCCTCTCTCTCCCACATAGGCGTCGCTCCTCTCTCCATGGGTGCCACCCAGAAGCCCATTGGCGTCGCCTGCCTCAGCGACCCGGGCGCCTCCCATCTCCCTCTCCACGGGAGCCGCTTAGACAGAAGCCCATTGGCATCACCTACCTCAGCACCTTGGGCACCTCTCATCTTCCTCTATGGCAAAAACATAGAATACCAATTTATCGCCCATGAATGTCTAACAGCTGCCAGCCAAAACGTAGCTTTCCACCACCGTCAGTTTCACTAATTTTTGCTTAAAACTCAAATTTAGAGAGATAGAAGCATTTTTTGAGAAATATTGTTGACCAAACCACCTTTGGTAGTTGTATGTCATAGATCTCAAAAAAAATACCCAAATTCAAAAAATAATTCACCTCAAATGGACAACCGAATGCAAAGTTATGGCCATTCAAAATTTTATCGATTTTTATGATTTTCTGATACTCTTGCTCCAAGGTGTTGCTCATATCCGTGAGGTCCGTGTCAAGCACCCAACGCCTGCAAGTCATTTCCTAGCAACTTGATGGCACTGCCCAAAGGGCTGCTGGTGCCGCCTAGCAGCCTGTTGAGGCTGCCCAGTAGCCTGTTGGCATCGCCCAGCGGCCTACTGGTGCCCATCACATGCTTCACCTCCAATCTCGCCCGCTCCATCGGCGCCACCTAGCCCGGCGTCACCTTGCTTGGGGTCTCCAAGAGCATTGCACACCTCTCGATCCAGCACCCTGAACATGTGATGGGTGTTGTCCCCTCTCTCCCACACGGGCATCACCTTCTCTTCCTCTCTTGCAATGGGTGCCGCCTAGGTCCCCATTTGCACAACTTATTGGGCCTCCAGTCTTTGAGGCATTCCCAAACTCACTATGAGCGTCACCTTGGACTACTGTAGCATCAAGGATTGTGCCATGGGCATGGGCATGCCCTTTTCACCGCCCAACCACCTTGCTCCAATGCCCCGTGTTCGGCCTCTATCATCAAAATCCTTAGAAACTCTGGATTTACTCACACCAATGGAAGCTATACTATGGGGAACATGAAAATCTCTGCTCATCCAAGTGAAGAAGAAGCTCATGCCCTCAACCTCTTTCTCTCGTAAACAGTCGAA